TATATATATATATATTAGTGCTGTCAAAATTAGCGCATTAACGCAAGCGATTAATTTTTTCAGTTTAACGCCTTAAAAATATTTAACGCCGTTAACGCAGGGGCGGGGCTACGGTTGGCCACCCCACTCACAACTGCTGTTTCTGTCTCTTTTTTCGTGACAAGAACCATCGTCTATTTAAACGCAGAACGTCTTTATGACCACATCAAACAGGAAACTTTTCAGACGTGTGCTCCAACTTCACTTCAGGGTCAGGCGCGAGTCAAACAAGGAAATGGTGCTGTGCTCGCAGAATGCTTTTCAGTTGCACGCACAAAGGCGTCGGTGCGCTCATCATTTCATATCAAAGTGCGAATGAAACAATATGCATGCAATGTCGTAGTTATGTCGTCAGTTAAGTCATGAAGTTACCAAAAAGGCAATTAAAGCTGCCTTAAAACTGTGCATGTATGTATTTGTTATATGAGTCACATTTAAGAACATGTATCTGAAATGCTTCCAAACTGTCCTGGAGCATCCCAGCACTGTCTCCCTCACCTTTCACACTCGATTCAACTCAATAGAGACTTTAAGAACTGAAGTGGGTCAGAAAAGGTAAAGAGAGATGCGTATCAGATCACGCTCAGCAGCGACAGCTCTTAAAGTGACAGCAGACCAAAAAAACGTAATATCCAGCTGCTGTGATGTCTGGTAATCAAAGATCAAAAGTAAAACAGGAAATCAATAACTTTTGTAGCTTTAAGGATTCATCTGTATTTAATTTAGAATTTAGTGTTTGATCAATTTATGTATATTTCCTACTTGCTGAAGGGCACAGGTAAATATGACATTTATTATAATGGGTTTATGTGAAGATTGTTTTACAGTAAGTTCACTTAAATTAGAAGTTATTTTAAGTAGTCTAATAAATGTTAAAATTGATAGCTTTGTAATGTTGAATGGCTAATCAATGGTTAAATATTAGGGGGAAAAATTATTTCATAGAGACATCAAGAGTGACACTGGCCTTCAGTCATAAAAAAGATGCCATTATACAAATATTAAAAATATACTGTCTTTATGTTGTTTCTACAGTAATTTGAAGGTTGAATGTGAAATTACTGCAATGTGGAAGAATTTTTTTTTTTAAACTTTAATGTTAGGTGGGATTAATTTCAGAAAAAATGTGTGATTAATTAGTAATTTTTTAAATCAATTAACAGCACTAATATATATATACTGTATATGTATATGTATATTTCAAATAAATGCTGTTCTATCCGTCAAAAAATCCTGAAAAAAGTATATCATGGTTACCAAAAATGTTAAAGGGGTCATATGATGCTGCTAAAAAGAACATTATTTTGTGTATTTGGTGTAATGAAATGTGTTTATGCGGTTTAAGGTTCAAAAAACACATTATTTTCCACATACTGTACATTATTGTTTCCCCTCTATGCCCCGCCTTTCTGAAACGCGTCGATTTTTACAAAACTAATCGGTCTGAAAGTTGATGTATTCCCTCAGCGACCAGCACGGATCAGCTCCAGGCATGACGAAGCGGATATCGTCCTCTTTTGGATGGCCAACCAAAGTAGTTTCGCTTTCACAATGAAACGCAGCGCCTTCACGACATGGCGGCGGCGGCAACAATACTACAGCGAGAATAAAAGTTACGCCTTCTTTCTTTGAGTGAACATTTGGGCGGCGTTATGCAAATCTTCCCACATAGTGACCTAGATATGTGGGGGCGTGTTAGAACGAGCCGTTTTAGGGGGGCGTGGCAGAGTCTTAACTTTGATAAAGAATATCTCTTTGGATTTGAGACTTTAGTCTTTGTAACTTTACAGATCTTCTTTATGCACCAAGAGCTTGTAACACTCCAAAGAGAAAGGAAAAATTGAAATCGCATCATATGACCCCTTTTTTTTTAACATTGATAATAATCAGAAATGTTTCTTGAGCACCAAATCAGCATATTAGAATGATTTCTTAAGGATCATGTGACACTGAATACTGGAGTAATGGCTGCTGGATATTCAGCCCACTTTGCCATCACAGAAATAAATTAAAAGATTAAATTTTGCATTTAAAATTAAAGTTACATATTAAAATTAAAAGTTATTTTAAATTGTCATAATATTTCATAATATTACTGTTTTACTGTATTTTTGACCAAATAAATGTAGACTTGATGAGCATAAGAGACACAAAAACTAAAAAAAATCTTACTGACCTCAGACTTTTCAATGGTAGTATATTTATCTCAATAAATGCAGTTTTATTAACAACTTGCCAGTTTTACACTTACTGCTTGTTCAAAATAGCATTTTGGACACATGAGCAATGCCCAGGGGTTACATATTTGCCTTCTCCAACATAAAAAAATATTTTTAATGTTTTTTCAAAGATATTTATCATGAATAAACTTGTTAATTGTGCCTCTTATCTTAATTTCTCCTTCAGGACCCAGATAAGTTCCAGTTTGGAAAGACGAAGATTTTCTTCAGGGCAGGTCAGGTGGCCTATCTGGAGAAGCTCCGAGCTGATAAGTTCCGCTTCGCCTGCATTAATATCCAGAAGACCGTGCGAGGATGGCTCCAGAGAATTCGGTACCGCAAGATCCGCAAGTCTGCTATCACTCTGCAGAGATACGGCCGGGGTTACTTGGCACGCAGGTGAATGTTTGAATAGACGGCTCTTAGATTGAACTTCACAGAAATACAGAATACAGAAATATTCAGCTTGGCATGTTTTTAGCTTTACTTACAGCTCTTGTTCTCTCATTCTCTCTCAGATTTGCAGAGATGCTTCGCCTGACCCGAGCAGCACTTATTTGTCAAAAGCAGTACCGGATGGTACGAGTTCGACGGGAGTATCTGAGGACCCGTCGGGCTGTGATCACCATTCAAGCGTTCGCCCGGGGCATGTTCATACGCAGGTTATATCAGGAGGTACTCTACAGCACTTTATCTTTTGTTTCACACTCTTCATGTTTCTTTAAAGCACAGTTTTAAGCTGCATTTTCTGTCTTTTCAGTTCCTGCTCCATCACAAAGCCATGATCATTCAGAAGACCGTCCGTGGTTGGCTTGTGAGAAAGAAGTATCTCCGTGCCAGATATGCTGCCATTGTCATCCAGTGTTTCTACCGCCGTGTACGTGCCAAGCGCCAACTCAAACAGCTCAAGATAGCAGCCCGTTCGGCCGAACACTTTAAAAACCTCAATGTCGGAATGGAGAACAAGATCGTGCAGCTCCAGAAGAAGATGGATAACCAGGTACAGGAGCATAATAGGATGCATGAATGATTAAAGAGTCACCAAAACGAAGTGACATGGTGTTGACTAGTTACCTTCTTTCTTTACAGTCAAAAGAGTATAAAACTCAGAATGAGCAGCTGGTTGTTACTAACACTACTCTGGGATCAGAGGTCACCAAGCTCCAGAAAGAAGTGGAGACACTTCGTAGTCGGCAGACTGCTGGCACTCAGGTGACATCACTGCAGGAAGAGCTTGAGAAGTTGAGGGCGGAGCTCCAGGAAGCCCACGCCCAGAGGAAGCAGATAGAGGAGGAGTTCAGCAGCGAGAAACAAGGACTCGAACAGGTGAGAAAGGATGCTCAGATAACTAGTTGATGTTTGTTGATGTTCTTTGTCTCAAGAATTGTTTCATATTTCTATATCATTTGAAATGTCTGAGGGTAAATAGAAAAACAGGTCAATGCATTTAGTTTTCAGTTTCCACAGGAAAAAAATGACACTCTAAAAGGGCAGCTGTTACGTAACTAATGTCTGTCATGCACAAGCAAAGTTAATAATGCATGGAAATTGCTTAAGAGGTTTTTACCAGCTCACAAAAGGTCTTTTGAAATGGAATAATCAGCTAGTATGCCTTTAATGTGACCATCTCCCTCATGTTTTGATGGTAAGAGTAAAATTGATCAATTTAAATTATAGTAGTGTCTTAATATCAGTGCTATAGTGATGCACTCAAATAGTTTTTAAGTTTATGCTTTTTTCTTGTTTTTTTATAGTAACGTGTGTGTGTGTGTGTGTGTGTATGTATGTGTATATACCTTTCAAAAGTTTGGGATCGTAACATTTTTAATGTTTTTGAAAGTCTCATGCTTACTAAGGCTGTATTTATTTGATCAAAAATACAATAAACAGTAATATAATTACAATTAAAAATAACTTTTTATTTTTTTTTTTGAATGTTTTTAAAATGTCATTTATTTCTTTGTTGGCAAAGCTGAATTTTTAGTAGCCATTACTGCAGTCTTCAGTGTCACACGATCCTTCAGAAATCATTCTAATATGCTGATTCGATACTCAAGAAACATCTTATTATTATCAGTGTTGAAAAGAGTTGTGCTGCTTAATATTTTATTGAAAACCTTGATACATTTAGATGCCATTTGATGCATTCTTAATGACTTAAGTATTAATTTCTTTGAAAATAATCTTACTGACCCCAAACTTTTAAACAGTACGGTATATATATTCACAAAAAGGTACATATCAAATAATAAGACGGTTTGAAATGATTATTAATTTTATTTTAATTCAGCTTTTCACTCAAAATTGGTATGCTGATAATCTAATTTATATTTGTGTAAAGATTTTTAACATTAAATTAGAGAAATGCAAAAAAAATAAAATATCAAACTTGTGGACCCCACTGTATATAATCTGAACTGGCTTGCTTACAGTTAAACTTGCTTGTTTATCTGATGGTCTGAGATGAAAGGGTGGTGTGACTTTCCCTTCCTTTTGCAGAGGGTGGAGGAGCTGGAGAAAGAGAACAAGCTCTTGAAGAAGGAGAAAGAAGAGATGAACCGCAGAATCCAGACCTCCAGTCAGGGTGAGTTTCATGCTTCAGAGTCACACGCACACTCAGAGCATCTGGAGGAAGGAGTATGAGGAGCGAAAGGATGTGTGGCTTGCCTGGAGGGCTGGGCTGGTTTTGTTTGACGCACAAGAGAGTCTGTGTGCAGAAGTGGGACGAGAGAGACAGGAACTGCATTGGATTTCAGTAGAGGAATGTGACACTGCTGCTTTACCTGCACAACTAAAAGCTGACCGTTGTATCAAGCCGGTTCACATGCGAGAATGCTATTTGAAACCCGAGGTTTGGTCTCAATACGCTTTCTGTTTGCTAAATGTCGCTTTAACGAGTTTGTCCCGCACTTATTTTCCTCAGTGCTGTTCTGCTGTCGAGGCTGTTTAAGTTGTTCAAAACACTATTTAAAGGACTGTTATGAATGCAGTGATTGTTTTGGCGACTTTGATCAGTTTTTGTTAACAGTGTCTTTAGTAGGAAACTAATTTTTCTCTCAGAAGTTTTATTTCTGGTCTTTATTTTGGCCAATCTAAAGAGTCACTAATTTCACTAATGATAATGGTGACTGTCATTTGCTCACCCTCACATCATTCCAAATTACTTCCTTTTAATTTGCTGAACACACACACACACAAAAAAAAATACTTTTTGTCCATACAGTGTAAGTCTATGGAGTCCAGTCAGTGTTGTTTTGGGCCCCATTCATTTTGTATTGTATGGAAAAAAAGCAGTTCTTCAGAATACCTTCTTTCATGTTCCACAGAAGAAAGAAAGTCAGGTTTGGAACAACATGAGGGTGAGTAAATGGTGGCAGGATTTTCGTTTTTGGGTGAACTATCCCTTTAAAGAAAAGTCTTGTGCAATTCATGTGAATAGTATGGTTAAAGCTGGAGGCACAATCAAGCTTTCATGTGGCATTGATAAATCAGATAAAATTCTCAATAACCAACAGTTTTAACATATGAAATACCCTTTTGTTTTGTCATTTCTATAACAGTTAAAACAAAAAGAAACAAGGAACATTTAAAAAAATCTTATTTATCATATTTCTAGTATGTCTTTATGGAGCTTCACTTGTTCCTCAAGTCATTGCTTCAAATAAAAGGGTCAAAGGAATCAATGTCACAGGTTTATTATACCATTATCTTGGTATGATAATTATCTCCTAATTATGGATGGCTGCTTTATCAAACTACTATCAGGCCATACGTCCGATAGCTCTTTCAGAAAGGATGTGATTATAGGCTTTCACACTGTACATACAACTTTGAGTACAGTTGAGAAGAGTTTGCTTTAAGTTAGTGGTGATGTTTTTATTATAATATGCATTTTGAATGTAGAGGATGTGCTTATTTTATTTCTATTGGGATTACAGAATCAAGAACATTTTGTAACCTACACATAGAAGCTCAAAGGTCTTCCATCAGAGTAATAAAGATCTTTTATTGATTGACAAAATGTCAATCAAGCCGAAGAATAATAAAAGATTGATAAAAGTGTTATCATCATCACTATTACATTGGCTAATATTCAATTGGACACAGTAACACAAAACCTGTAGTGTGGATGTAAAATAAACTGGGATCTCACAACTAAAATAGATCAAAAGAGGTTTCAGTTTTTTATACCCTGAATAAAAAAAATCCTAATTTATGAGAAAGATACGTTTTTCACACACGTGATACAGAAATATTCAGCTTGTGAAAGTTGATACAGGTGAATGGGAGCTGCGTGTTGTCTTGCTCATTGCTTTATTCCTGTGAGTGAATGCCTTTGTTTTGTCTCTCAGGTCAGGCAGGCGATGTGTCTCAGAAAGAGATCCGTCTGCAGGTTGAACTGGATGAGGAGAGACAACGATATCAGAATCTGGTGAAAGAATATTCCAGACTGGAGCAGAGATACGAAAATCTGCAGGAGGACATGTCCTCCATGAAGGTAATGCTTTGACAGTGAGTCTGAACTTCTGGAATTTGCTTTTTACTGTTGTCTGTAACATCTTTATGGTTCTAGTTCCATCCCGGCCACCGGAGGAACCCCTCTAACCAGAGCAGTCTGGGCTCGGACTCCAACTACCCCTCCATCAGTATGTCAGAGGTGGGAGACACTGATGACACCATCCAGCAGGTGGAGGTAAAGCAATTTCATTGAATCTGCTAATATACACCAGCAGACTTTGAGAAGGGTATAAAGACATTTCAGGATGAGCATCAATTTGGTTTGTCTTCCTGCAGGAGATGGGCATAGAGAAGGCTGCCATGGACCTCAGTGTATTCATGAAGTTACAGAAGCGTGTGCGAGAGCTGGAGCAGGAAAGAAAGAGGCTGCAGACCAATCTAGAGAAAGTAGAGGAACTGAGCACACGCAAGGCATGTTTATTTGTCATGTCTTTTCTGCTTTCATACTCTTCTCACAGTTGCCACAAAACAATACAAAAAATGTAAAATACAGAACCGTTTTAAACAAAATATAACTTTTTTTTTTAAATACAAAAACTTTTAAAATAGAAAAATATATAAAGAGAGTAATTGTTATTTTGTTTTTTATTTTATAATTTTATTTTTTACTTTTGTTGGCTTTGACTGGAAATATGTCAACAAAGGAAAGATAACTGACTGTTTTATCATTTGATAGGGTTTTTGAGGTAGTGAATGTATGCGTTAATAAAAATAATCTTAAATAATCGAGATTTGCTGATTGTTGATACTCTTCTCTTTATGTTCTCATGACAGTTTTAACATCAGAACTTAACCTGAGTGGCTGCTAAACATTTCCCACTTTTTGGCCGTAGGTTACAACACAGCCAGGCGGTCATAAACAGCAGTTATCTTTTCTGATGTTCCCTCATCTGGACTTGCAACAGCATGGTCCGCTGCTTTATCAGTCAGCTTGTGTTTACAATTTTTTTTTCGTTCATTCTTTTATCTTATAGGGAAATGAGCCCATGATCTCCACGTCAGAAGACGATATAAACGCAGACCTGGCCTACAACAGTCTGAAGGTAAGAGTCAGTCCAGCTCAGTGTAATGGTCATGCCACTCTGCCTCCAGTCAAATGTCTGTCTTGGTGCTTATTGATTTGTTCTGCACTGGGGCCGCTCTGCTGCTGCTTGCTGGTCGCTCTGCCTGTTAAAGTGTGGGTGAGTGGAACGATGCAGAAATTTAAGACCAGGGCATTTTTAGAGAGTTGAACTATGGCAGGAAGGCACATGGATGATGTTTTGCTTTTATTTTTGTTCATCTATTTGCATAAACTCTCAAATTCTTCATTTTGTTAATTAAACACTTTAACTTTCAGACAAACTTTGAAAAGTGCCTTTGGTATAGACATTGAATTTGACAAATGAAAACACAGCTGTGTGCAATAGACAGAATGTTTAATAGGATGCATTGTCTTTAAGATCCAGTTGATTTCTTAATAGATCTCTTGATCTGATATCGAGAAGTCAGTCAAAACACGCAGAGGCAGGAAAGCGATCACATTTATTTTTTCAAACTTCTGTTTTATTTTGTCTGGCTAGAAATAATAAAAGCAATAAGCAATTACTATATAAAGCAAAAACAATTAAACATTTCTGTTTCTCAACATAGTCTTTTGACCTTAAAGATTTTGATACAAGTTCTTACCTCTGAATTTTCGCACTCTCTTATTTCCTGTAAAAATGATACAGCAAAATAACGTGAGATAAAATAGTGATTGCAAACATCATCAAATCAAAAGCAAGTTAAAAAAAATTAATGTATGTGAATAGTATTAAGAAATGCATAAATGCAAATATAATTATTTATTCTTTCAAATTACATTCATGACTATACATTTTTATATAAATTTTACTTTTTTGCTCTCTCTCTCTCTCTCTCTCTCTCTCTCTATATATATGTATATATGCAGTGTTTCCCCTGCCATTATTTTAGGGGGGCGGCCCCCCAAATCAAAAATGATATATAAAAATTTTGATGGAAAATAAACTATTATAAAATATTATAATCTAATATATAAAATATTAGATTTTATATCTATTATTCTTTTTAATTGAAAAAAAATCTAAATATAATAATACATTATAAATTATACATATATGCACAACACTCTTGCTCTCAGCACTCATACATGTACAACACTCTTGGACTAGTCTTGAAGCTGCACACAGGCAGGTGGCTAATACGAAATCAAATTTATTCCTTTGTGTCCTAAAGCTTTTTTGTCAGAGCTAATTTTTACTATCATGTGATTGTGATCTTCATCGGACACCTCACAAGCCCTTAACACTTTAATATCAGCAATCAGTTTTCAGTTCAACCAGTCATTTATCTGAGCACGAGGGTGTGTTGAAACCCCAACAGCAGGCTTGGTTTAACAGCTTTAAAAGGTTTGACTCTGACCAGAGAGCGAAGTACAAGAATGAAGACACCAGAGCCAAAAGTTGATCTGGAAGCTGTGCAGCTGAATGTGGAGCTCAAGGCAGTAGAATTACATAACTGATTTGTTTGTTTTCTTAAAGCACCCCAGCATTGCACGGTGAGCTTATATAATAATTGCTGATGGTTCTTGTTCTGCAGCTCTCAAACACTCTGTGTGTCTGATCAAAGCTTTAGCTGCGGGCGTTAGATTCACTTGGATAAAATTACTGCAGTCAGCATTGCTTGATTTTTGTATTTTTTGTGAGTCCCTCTCTTTCTGTTTCAAAGATTCTTTCTCTCACACAAAACACACATTCGTTCAGGCTTATTTACAACTTCTTGCCTCCGGTCACTTTTGATAGTTTTTACTAAAAATAAATCCTTTAAGTGGTACAAAATGCAGGCTATTTACCCTTTTTCAGACTGTGCTCATAAAATTTGTTCTGTTTACAGCGGCAAGAGCTCGAGACTGAGAACAAGAAGTTGAAGAATGACCTGAACGAGTTGAGGAAAGCGGTGGCCGACAGGGCCTCCGATAACAACTCATCCAATGAGCTTCAAGAGGGCTACAACCTGCTGCTGAATCAGCTCAAAGCGGCCAATGAGGAGCTGGATGTGCGCAAGGAGGAGGTCCTTATGCTTAAGACCCAAATCGTGAACTCCACAAGGCAGTCAGAGAACATAAACCACATTGTGAGTCTAAAACATCACCACCCCTCATTTTATAAATTTGACCTTTGTAGGCTTTTTTTTTTACAGCTGTTGTCTTACCAAATGAATCTATTGTATTATATCATTATCATATCAGACTTTCTAATCCATTAGCATCCCATCAGGCTTCAGGGTACCTTGAATGGAAAACTTCTTTAGCTTCTATAAAAGCGATCAGGCATGGAGACATTACATTGGATAAGATGGGATATAATGGGTTTTGGTGGAGCTCAGAGTTATTTAAGTTAAGGGAAAGTTCAGTGTAATAGTAATGGTGTGTCTGAGCTTTACAGAAGCTGTACTGCTAGTGAAAATGGCTTTATATCCACCTGCCTTTCTGAATCTGCTGAGGAGAGCCAATCATTGTCAGCATTGATTATGCTCGGAAAGAAAGTTATTTTTCTCGTTCTCACCGTTATATTTAATTTTGTGAGTAGCTGAAATGGAGAGTCCATAAGACAAAAAACACTTGGAAAAAATTATTTTCTCTCTGCAAGAATGCTTCAGTGCACAAAATATCTATAAACATACATTCATTGTTTCCTTTTGATATATTTGTTTAATTCAAACAGGATTCCAATGATGTATCAGAATGGACCAACATCAAGAAGCCCTTGGACTCAGAGGACACTGGTGATGCGCCTGATTTAAAGAAGTAAGGCAGTCCAATCTACCTAATGAAAGGCTTTTAAAGTGACATCAGCTTTCCTCCACATACTCATTCGTCTATTTTAATGAAGATTGAATCCAGTGGTATTGACAGTTCATCTGAGTCCAGAGCAGCTCTCTGATTCAGCTCTTCATGCTCCGTCTGCTTTCATTTACAGCAGTATACCTCCGTTTTCTGACCCACATTACTGGAGAGCCAATCACTTCTCATGAATTAGCATAGTGCTGCCTCAAACAAGCACTCACAAATGTCTCAAAGCTAACATTTGAAAAGTTATCTGCAATATTGCTGTCAAATTTATAGACCACCACTGGCTCATGGCAAGTTGGAGACAATTTAGTGGCCATAAATTTTTTTTGCCATGAAACATTATTTTGCATTCATACTAGTTGTATTGAAACTGACATGTTTCATATTATTATATTCTGTTGCACTACAGCATTCTGTCTACTGCTCTAAAACAAAGGTGAGCTTTCGAGATAACCAATTAAAATAACACCTTTTTTTTTTCTTGGTGCAAATTGAGTTATAAATTGGAAAAAACGGACACCATTTTTATTTTTAACCACACACAGGATTTTAGGATATTATAGGCAACAAAATGATACTTCTAAAACCAACTAGATGAAGAGTTTTGCAGCTTTCAGATGCAGCCATGGAGTTTTAGAAAATTGCTGCTTCTTAAAGGTAAATTTGAACTAAAAAGTAAATGACTGATTCAACTTGCGTCACAACAGTTCAGGGTCATTAAATTTTTTTTTATTTTTTATTATTATTAATACTTATATTCAGCAAGAATGCATTGAATTGAATTGAAAGTGACCGTAAAGACTTTTATAATGCTAAAACGTATTTATATTTTAAATTACTGACTCCAAATTTTTTAACAGTAGATCAGACTATCATTCTCATTTAATGTAAACAAAGTATTAAATTGCAATTCCATATAAAGTTACTGACCAACTGGCAAGTACCTTTTTTACAAACTCACAAAAAACACTTTTTGCCCTCATTTGGCACTCGCTGAGTGTTCATTTTGGACTCTAATAGTGCAATAAATAAAAAGGTGCCACAGTACAGTCTATGTAAATTTTCATCTCTGGCTTTTTATCTTTTTACCTCTGGCCAGTGCACTGTTAAAATCTGAACTTTCATTCTGTCCAATATCCATCCAGGCTGCTCTGAATTCATGACACTTTCTCTCTGTCACATTTTTAAAGTGGTCTTTTGAAACGGAGAGTGACAGATGTTAGATGACATACTCATTACCTGTGAAAGAATACGTTTTCGTACTCTGTGGTCTCAGGACTTGGCACTTTAAACACCATCTGATTTCTCATGCATGCGTTTTTCCTCCTTTCTCTATTTCTCATTTCCTGTGAGTGCCACATCTTCTTGCAGACATTGCTTGTCCAGGCAGCTAACCTAAAAAAAAAAAACATTATATCCTCAAGAAATAACCAAAGTTGTAGCAGCTACATGACCTCTTTACTTGAAGATAATACGGGTGAAATGGAGATGGGTAATTCAGATGTGCCCTCACATCTGATGTCTTCACAGACTAATCTAACCTGCCATACCTTGCTTTGCTACACTAACTGGCCCTGCCATCTTGTCATTCTTCTCTTTTGCTTTCTCTCCTGTCTGTCTGCTGCCGCTCCTCTGTCTCTTTGGCTCTCTGTTACTCGGATGCCAGTAAAGCTCAAGACTGGGGTTATTTGAATGAAGATGGGGAACTTGGCCTGGCCTACCAGGGTCTAAAGCAAGTTGCCAGGTTGTGCTTTACATTTCTTGGATTTCACTCCAGGTTTAACTGGATTTCGAGGCTTCTGTTTCTGTCAGTGTTTTTCAATCAGTAAAGAACCATTGGGCATATATTGAGTTTTGTCACTTTTGAGAAGTGTGTTGAGGGCTAACCAAAGTGTATACACAGTTTACACCCACTTATTCCATATTATGGCATGCTTGTGTTCAGGCTGCTGGAGGCCCAGCTGCAGACACAGTCTCGACAGCACAAGGATGAGTTAGAGGCTCTCCACACGCAAATCGAACTGCTGAAGGACAGTCTGGAGAAGAAACAGGAAATGCTGGACCACTTCTCCACACTTTCTCCTGATGCTCTGGTGGAGTTCAGCGTGCAACAGGAGATCACACGCCTCACTAACGAAAACCTGGTGAGACCTTATCTCAGATAGAATTTATGTAATCAGTATTATTGTCTTCCTTTTATTTTTATTTTTTTTATTTTTTAAATGCTTAGATATACCTAAAACAAGCAGTGTTAATTTTGACAGCAAATTTTGATTTAGTTTTAGTCATAGTCTTTGGACTAAAATACCATTTAGTTTTAGTCATATTTTAGTCATTTGAATTGTTTTATTCTTAGTCTAGTTTTAGTCGACTAAATATCACGAGACTTTAAAATCTAATGGGTTTATTTAGTGTAATGCCTTTATTAAGTGTTTTTCTAAAATGGTAAATTTTCTATTAACCTGGTAATATAAATGATATTAAGATTTGAACATGCAATATAGACAAAGATTAAACTGACACATAACATGACAACAACAAAAAAAACTTTTCATAAAGAAAAAAGAACGGATGAAAAGATGGTCTTCTTTTCAATAAAATACCAGTGATTATAGGGCCTATAATATGCATTCTTTATAACAACTTGCATGCAACATCCTTCATTCTTTCAAGCAGACATTTTTATTTATATAAATTAAATTTAGATTGTTCCTTATTAGAGCTACTAAAGTGATTCAGTCAAGAGCAATGAGTGATTTCCTCACTTTTGTTGATACATTAACAAAAAGACAGACAATAACTAAATTAAGGCTGCTGCCCCTTTAAACTGATTGCACAGATTCAATATACTGGCGATTATTCTCCCAACAGTTTACATTCACTTGAGATGTAACTGGGTGTGTTTACGTAAATACTTGTCAAAAGAGACTTTGTGTGTATTTCTCCGTTAAGTAGTCAGTAGTCGAATTTAGTAGTCAGTAGTCGAATTCAGTAGTCATGTGCTGTTTGAGAGGCACTTTTCTGTGTGCGGGTTTCGGCTGTGTGCGCTCAGAAAACCGGACTGAATTCAGTGCTCTTTCGCGTCATCACGCTTTTCAAATTTATCCATATGTCTGCTCTTCTCTTATTCCCAGACACTGAAATTTTTTTACGTTTTATCAGCTGTGCCGCAAGTGTATGCAAGCGTATGATCAGAGAGTTACATCTCTGTCCAGTCATACCTCCCTAACATTTTCATCTTGTTTTTATACCTTGACGAAAATGTCAGTAGATTTTCGTCATTGTTTTTGTCATTCAAAAAGAGTTTCTATTTTGTCGTCTCGTTTTTGTCTGTGAAAATTTTTTTACGAAAATTATGAATATACAAATATTTTTCATCAACGAAATGAACACTGAAAACAAGATCAATTGTAGATTTTGAATGAAGCATATTTTTTCTTAACTTATTGGGTAATTGTTTGTGTTGCTTTAAGCATGAATCTCTGAATTGTGTTAGATTTAAATAAAACAAATAAACAGTTTTTCATTGCGATAAGAAAAATGAAACAAGACGATCTAAAAAAAAAAATTTGATTTTGCACAATCAATTTTGCTAAAACATAGTAAAATCATCTTGTGTAAGTAATATTTGCTTATTTTGACTGGGAAACAACACAATTGTTTTTCAGTGAGCCCTCAGACTTAGCCAATGGTTCATATCCAACACACAATATTGACATTCTCACTCAAGATGATGGTGATTATTGTTCTCCAGGATCTGAAGGAACTTGTTGAGAAGTTGGAGAAGAATGAGAAGAAGTTGAAGAAGCAGTTGAGGATCTATATGAAGAAAGTGCAAGAGCTGGAAGGTTAAACATCTGTCTTTCATCTGTGTGTTTACCGTTGTCTTGTACTTATTGCCATTTGCTGATGTGCTGTTATTCTTCGTACAGTGTCTCAGGCCACAAAGAGCAGACCAGAGCTGACTCGTCAGGTCACCGTACAGAGGAAAGAAAAGGACTTTGAAGGCATGCTGGAGTACTACAAAGAAGATGAGGTCTTGCTGGTCAAGACTTTAATTACAGGTATGTGTAGTTACATGCAGGCATGTTTTAATGTGGAGGTCCTGTAGCTATGTTAAATGCACAGGTCTTGTCTTTAGAGATGAAGCCCAATGCGGTGTCGGCCACAGTCCCCTGCCTCCCTGCTTACATCCTCTTCATGTGTATCCGTCATGCCGACTACATCAACGACGACCAAAAAGTTCATTCACTCCTTACCACAACCATCAATGCCATCAAAAAGGTCCTGAAGGTATGTATACTGTATGTAATCACATCGACACACTCCCAGAATTCAAACCAGCTACACTACTATTCGAAAGTTTGTTTGTTTTTAAAGAAATGAATACTTCAGCAAGGATGCATTAAATTGATCAAAAGTTTCAATAAAGGCAATTATAATGTTAAAGAAATGATCTGTTTAACATAAATGCGGAGTTTAAAAGTAAAGACATTTATAATGTTAAAAAAAAATGCTGTTTAGCATAAATGCTTTTGACATTCTATTCATCAAATAATCCTGAAAAATCTATTTCACAGTTTTCACCAAAATATTAAGCAGCACAACCGTTTTTAAACACTGATAATAAAAAAGAAATTTTTCTTGAGCACCCAAAACTTCATTTTTGATTAGTAATATGTATTGCTAAGAACTTTATTTGGACAACTTTAAAGGCGATTTTCTCAGTATTTTGATTTTTTTGCACCCTCAGATTCCAGATTTTCAAATAGTTGTATCTCGGCCAAATATTATCCTATCCTAACCAACCATACATCAATGGAATTCATTCAGCTTTCAGATGATGTATAAATCTCAATTTCGAAAAATTGACCCTTATGACTGGTTTTGTGGTCCAGGGTCACATATTAGAATGATTTCTGAAGGGTCATGTGACACTGAAGACTGGAGTAATGATGCTGAAAATTCAGCTTTGCCGTCAGATGAATTAATTTTTTTTTGATTATATATAAAAAAAAACAAAAAACAATGTTTTAAATTATAATAATATTTCAAAATATTACTTTGTTTTATTGTATTTATGATCAAATAAATCCAGCCTAGCTGAACAAGAGACTTTTAAAAAAAACTTAAATCCTGCTGACCACAAACTTGAAAACATTAATGTATAAACCCATAATGATTTCATCATCCCTCTTTTTTTTATCTTCTCTCCAGAGAAACAACGATGACTTTGAGATGACCTCCTTCTGGCTGGCAAATGCCAGTCGACTTCTGCACTGTCTGAAGCAGTACAGCGGGGATGAGGTGAGATTTTTATTTTGTCCAGTGATGATTTCAGCTGCAAGTATAAGAGCCAGTTCCATGTACCACACTTTAACATATTTAACCAGCCATTAAGTACAGATAATGCTTGAAAAGTGTGGTTTTAAGCCTCAGGTGACCCCGTCTAGATCACTGGTATGATTTGGCTGTTGCTTCCTGTCATAGGCGTTCATGACACAGAACACTGTCAAGCAGAACGAGCACTGCCTGAAGAACTTTGACCTGGCTGAGTATCGGCAGGTTCTGAGTGACCTCTCCATCCAGGTCTATCAGCAGCTCGTCAGAGTAGCAGAAGGCATCATGCAACCCATGATTGGTGGGTACAGAGAGACACCAGACCACTATAAGCACTAAAAATTGAGTTGTTTGCACATTCTAATAGTTCATAATGTTTTGTCAGTTTCTGCCATGCTTGAGAGCGAGAGCATCCCCAGCCTGGCCGGAGTGAAGCCCATGGGCTACAGGAACCGCTCCTCTAGTTTGGACTGTGAGAGCGGAGGTCCAGCGGGCTACACGCTACAGGCCTTGATCAGGCAGCTGGGACAGTTTTACACCGTCATGGCGGACCACGGCCTGGACCCTGAGATCAGCCAGCAGGTGGTTCGCCAGCTCTTCTATTCCATCAATGCAGTGACCCTCAACAACCTGCTGCTGCGCAAGGATGTCTGCTCTTGGAGTACCGGCGTGCAGCTCAGGTACACGTTTGATGCTCTCAGGCAAATCCGTGGCCTTGTTAAATCTTCAGGACTTCAGATGAACGTAACATCCATCTCATTGGTGTCATTTCAGGTACAACATCAGTCAGTTGGAGGAATGGCTGAGAGGAAAGAATCTGCACCAGAGTGGAGCCGTAGCCACCATGGAACCTGTTATCCAGGCCGCCCAGCTGCTGCAGGTGAAGAAGAAGACCTCCCAAGATGCAGAGGCCATTTGCTCGCTCTGTACCGCCCTCAGCTTACAGCAGGTACACATTTAGCATTCATTTTTTCTTCATTTATTGTTTTGTTTAGTTTTTCATTGACTTAATCATGCTATTCTACTTCACTTCAGATTGTGAAGATCCTCAACTTGTACACGCCACTCAATGAGTTTGAGGAACGAGTCGCTGTGTCTTTCATAAGAGACATACAGGTAAGCACACTATGGACACACACTTGCTGGGTGTACCAAAATTTCAACATCAGTAAAACGCGACAAAAATATGCTAGTAAACACACTCCTGCCTAAAAAAGTTTAGTCAGTGTATATAATATTAAGGAATTTCTTTTATGTAACAGATGTATTATAGATTAATATCATACACCGTTGTTTAAAAGTTTGTGTTTGGCAAGGTTTGTTTTTTCCAGGAGATCTGTTCATATTAGTGTACAAGGCTGCACCAATTCGAACAGAAATACAGTGAAAATGGTAAAATTGTGAAATATTATTACAGTTTAAAATAACTGTTTGAATATATTTTGAAATGTAATTTATTTCGGTGATGCCAAAGCCAATACTCCAGTCTTCAGTGTCACATGATCCTTCAGAAAGGATTCTGATATGCTGATTTGCTTTTTAAGAAACAATTCTTGTTATTATCGTTGAAAACTGTTGTACTGCTTAATATTTTTTATGGAAACTTTTCAGGATTCTTTGAATAAAAAGTTCAGCATTTATTGAATAGACAGAACAGCATTTATTTAAAATAGAAATATGTTGTAACATAATAAATGTCTTTACTGTAATTTGATTAATGCATTTATTCATTGCTGAATAAAAAAAATATTAATTTCTTTAAAATAAAATCTTGCTATTGAACAATTTTTTTCCCCGTTTTTTTTTTTTAAGTTATATATTCATGTAAAAATGTAAGTGCAGTTTTGTCTTTATTGTTAAACTACTATTTGGTTAATTATAAATTGACTAATTTTAAATTTCTTACATTTTTGTATAGATAGCTGCACGCTTGTTAGTTCTGTTTACACTACAAAATCTGAAGTGGAGATCCCACATTTTAACATACATTTGATTTGGTTTCCTTGCAACTTAAGTCATTAACATCTCTCTTAGAAGGGCTTTTCAAACAAGAAGTGTATTAGATGATTCAACAGAATTTTTTTTTTCACATGCACATGAAAGCAATAAGTTAGTATTGTCTTGTTACTGAAAGATCAGTATTTTCTGCAGTGTTTGATGGCTTCTCAATGAGCATGTCCAATAAATACTCTCATTTCTCCTTTCGCAGAATCGTCTCCAAGATCGAATAGAAAACAACCAACTGCTGGTAGACACTAAATACACCTTCCCTGTGCTCTTCCCTTACACTCCATCAGCGCTCAGTCTGGAAACCGTACACATCCCGGCCTCCCTCAGCCTGCACTTCCTCACACGGGTCTGACATCTCAAATCTCTCTGTCTCGCTCTGAGCGGCCTGCAGCGGCCCATCGCAGATCTGCTAACCCACATACTAACAACACCACACGTGTGGGATTCACAGTATCGACATTTAACAAGACGGACAATCTCCCTGACCGACTAACTGTGGTGTTGAGACGGTTTCAATAAGGGGGGAAATGAGTCTAAATGATGCAGGTGTAAATGTGTTGTCAGCCTTTTGACTTTCCTTCTATAACACTCAACCAGTTCTCTCTGGGCTCCCATTTTATACAAGCAAGGCTATTGAAATATGAAGTTTAAACACTATATTTGGATTGGGATGTGTTTGTCTTTGACTAATTCTTATGATTAAACAAGTGTAATCTAAATTAAAGTAAGAGGGTTTTGGGCTACTGACATGAAACACTAATGCGAGATGTATGTGTCCGTATTCATGTATCTGTATTAGTGTGCACTGATTTCTTTGTGTTTGTAATGGAAAAGTGTCTTTTATTTCCCTTGCTTGTGCTGGAGCACAGTCTCATCTCAGAAACATGGGCTCCCACTGAAGCAACGCCACAATCTCGCTTTTTTTTTTCTAGGTGAACTTTTAAAATCGGCTGCCAAGATTCATTCCCACAACCTCTAGAAAAAGAAGCAGGAAATCTCTGCATTGCAGTGGCTGTTGCCAGTGGATCGGACTCTCCGAACAGAGGCTTTTTAAGCTTTTTTTCTCCCCATGTGTTGAAGAAACTTGGGACCCTGAATCACAGGGCCAGCAAATGTGGCCGATCGTGAAAGTGACCATGACAAGTTGAAGTATGTGGAGCAGAGGGAACGAGGATGATGAGAGGAGTTTGAGCTGGGATATTTAATATTCTGTTGAAATAAATAATCTTGTGATTGTTTGTTGGTGGAATCTAGAATGTGCTGGAAGGCATGTGCAAGTATGATGAATAAATGTATCTAAAGAGGCGTCATATACACTGGGATGAGTTTTATGGTGTACAGAAATACATTCTCAAAGCTACCAGGTTACTATTTCATGAAAGCAATTATCACAATTTACTTTATACTTTACACAGCTCTGTAGATGATTATGTGTAATCAAATAGCAATAACTACGCATTGTTTACTTAAACAAAAAAATAAGTACAATTTTATACAATCTCACGATTTTCCCCTTATTTTGTATGTTGCCAACAGAATGGGCTGTTCTGCGAGAATAGTGCATCATGTCAATTCAGGATACCGTATTTTGTTTCAAAGAGGTAATTCACGTTTTAGTTTTAGGTTTCAAAGTTTATACAAAGCTGTCAAAATCTCATGTATTGCACTATCACTCTCTGGATACAACTTTCTGGATTGAAATAGTTCTTTCAACGCCAATAAAGTAAGAACTGTCAATTTTTCAGTTGTATTCTTGTTATTTTGTAAATATATTGTATATTTTTTGACCATTCATTTTACGTTGACCATAAGGAGTTTTAATGCCACAGTCGCTTGGTTTTTATGTTGTAAGCAAGGGTTGATTTTATTTATTTATTTATTTTTACTGCCCTCTACCGACCATATTTGGAGTTGAGTCAAAGCTCTGAAAAATTGCATGCCTTTATCTAAATGATTGCTAATTTTAACTACTGGTACATCAGAGTTAGAAATTATGTATATGTTTCATATATGAAGAGTTTATTTGCAAAAACGGATAACTGACATTTTTTTTAATTTTCAAAAATCATGTTTTTTTAATTATGTTATGTTTTTATCGTTTTATTGTGTTCGTTTGCTGCATTTTTTAAAGTTATTTTTTAGCCTAATCAAAATAACCCAACTGCAGTTTGAGATTAATTGGAATGCACAATGAAAAAACATGATTTTTGACAATTGTTAAAAACAGAGTTGTCTGTTTTTGCAAATGAACTCTTCATATAATTTGCTTTTTTTTTTCAGTGACACTCAAACAGTAAGTACGATTTTGCACTGTCTCACATTATACCATGCATGCTATTTGTGGCACGAAACTCACACTTTTAAAAGCAAATCACACCCATTTATTCGGTCTTTATTTTTATGCTCCAAAATATCACACTTATTAATTTAACTTTAACTTTGATAAAGCACGCACATGAACACATCTTTAGATCATCTACAGCTAATGATACTAAATGAAGTATTTTGAATAAAGTTCACGGCTAAAAGATGTTGTTAGTTACGAGCAGCAGGGTCTTCAAGCTTCTTATTACTTTTATATGACGACTTCTACATAAAAAATATTAATTTTAACTTAAATGGCTATTACAATCCATTCATTTAATAATTTCGCTAGAAATATATAGTCCCTGACATGTCAGTGATGGTCCTCGAATTAGATTGGTGAAGCGGAACTTTAACAGCATTGCTAAGTTACTTTTCTTAGGGGGTATTTCACTGTTTGTATCACTCTGCTTGTCTGTGTTGTTCGCGTTCCTGACAGACTGTCATTAGTCATCAGTCTGTGCATTAGTGGTGGGGATTTTTCAGTGACAACAATCTTTCTGAAGGTTGACTGTCATTATGTGAGTGAATAACTGAATCATTCTCTCAACTGACTTCTTCAGGAATTAAACGCCACAACGATGTGTTGCTCCTTTAGCGCTGTTTTTGCAAAGTAGCTAGCAATACTATGTGTGTATATATATATATATATATATATATATATATACTATGTAAGTGTAAGTTATTTATTGGACTGATGTGTAAAATGATATCAAAGCTTAATTTGATTAATTTTAAGTCAGTTAAAACATGAACAGCATCTAGTAAATGTCAGTTTTAAAATATATAGGCTATTATGTGAATTTAACATACCCAGTGCATACTATTAAAAGCTGTAAATGTCAGAACAAGTGTCAAGATTATGAATCAAAAAGCTGTAAAAGTATGTGATTGAATCATTCTCTCAACAGAATCATTCAGAAATTATGTGTGGCTCCTTTAGCTCTGCTTTCGTTGGCGTGGCAAAAACACACAAATCAGCTAGCAATACTATGTATAAAATGTAAGTTATTCAATATTAATGTCTTATTTATTGGACTGATGTGTAAAATGATATCAAAGTTGTGCTTAATTTGATTAATTTTAGATCAGTTGAAACGCTGCATGAACAGCATCTAGTAAATGTCAGAATATGTGTGAATTCAACATGCCTGGTGCATACCATTAAAAGCTGTAAATGTCAGAACAAGTGTCAAGATTATGAATCAAAAAGGAAGTCATTATTTTGTCCCTGTTGACCACATTTGAATATGATTCAGATCAATTCAAATCTTTCAATCTGTTTATCTTTTTTTCAGTCACTTTCGATGCTTTCAACTTCCTCGCTGGGGTCTTGTGAATGTGGCTGCGCACTTTTTCCCAGACATATGAGCCCTGTGGTAACGGTCGTAGGATGCCAAGACATGCCAGTTTGATCATTTGCCTTGTCTGCTCAACCTGTTTGTGGTAACGTTTTCACAGGAAGTCATCACATTTTGGCAATGCAGGCGCTTAAAGATATTTCAAATGCAAGCATAACATGAGATTTGTCAAAACACGCTTAGGTTTAATACAATATTTTGATAGTGTTTTTCTGTCTCTGTAAAAAAAATTTATCTCAGCAGTTATTTTAAGGTCAACCCATCAGTCAGAGGAAGTCTATCCACAAACCATGATGTGACTCTCAGTTTTCATTACTCCCTATCTGCTTTTTTTCTGTTTTGTTCAAGCTTTCACTTTTCTTTAGAAGTAAAACAAATTTGGTGGATACATATGGCCTACCACAACCAACAGACAACACAATAAGCCAAAAGCCAATAATACAGAATTTCCTCAATTAAAAACCCTTAGACCTTTTAAACAGAAAAATTTTCTGTAGTCAATAAAACTTGAGTTTGTGCCTCCATAAAGTGACTTTCTCCCACAGAAAGCAGCTCATCTCCTCCCTCTGTACCACCTGCTTGCATTTCAGGGGTTTTTATAGGAGCTCAAAGATCCCGACCTCAACGAAAGATAAAGGAGAAGAGTGCAGAGGCATTAAAAAAATAGCACCCTATGGTATAGGAGCCTCGAGCGTAGGGTACATACAACAACTGTATGCAGAGAAACCACCGATGCTGTTGTTGTGAGATGTTTTTGTGTGATAGGGGCCTACAGCGATAGAGTGTGGTTTCGGAGGGGAGGGGGGAAGGGGCTCTTACAATGCAACTCAAAGTGCTTGTCGCATCTTTTTGCACCACGTTACTCTTCTCCAATGGTGCCCTTTATCCACGTGGTTACTTACCAACCTCTCTGGTTATTGGTACCGACCGAAGGAAAAGATGTCTCACTGTTTCTGCGGAAAACACAAATGACTGAGCTAAAATGTATCTGTGCTTTCTCCCCTTTCTTGTTCTCATATGATCATTGCTGAGCTACGACATGTTAACCGCAGTAGTCGCCCACGGACGCATTCGAGAGTATACTTACACTAGCAACCCTGAAACCCTCCTCCTCACACTGATGCTGCACCATCCTACTAAAATATCTACCTAAAAATCTCTTCACAACATGGGACTTTTCGGTCTTTGTACACATTTTTTCATATAACTTATGATTTGGCCAAAGTGATAAAATGTTGTGTTGCAAAAATGAGTACACCCTCCTGAAAATTACTAAATAAAACAAAACAAAAAATACAATTCTGGTGTAAGGTTAAGGCAAATATTGATCAACAGGTGAGTATGTTGAACAAAAACTGTTAAAGGTAAGTAATTTTTTGATAAATAAGTGTTATATGGCCCACTGAATCATACTCATGGACTTAATGCTGACAACAATGAAACCACTTGAGAGAGAACTGTCAGGAGATTTATTTCTTAGCATAAAAGAGGACAATGGTACAAGAGGAATACCAAATTATTGTTTTAAGTGTGAAAATATAGCCAAAGTAACACATACCTATCTGTGGGCAACATATGTGAATGTCTAGCATTAGCTGTTAATTTGAAGGTGAAATTAGAGTCCATCTGTTCAGAGGTGTTTTCAATCAGTGAGATGACTATCAGGTGTTAGTGTGTGCCCTGTTTTGTATTTTTAAAGAACAGGGATCTATCAAAGTTTGGTCATGTTTGTGGAAGTGTATCATGGCATAAACAAATGAGATCTCTGAGGACCTCAAAAAAAGAGTTGGTGTTGCTCATCAGGCTAGAAAAGGTTACAAAGCCATCTCTAAAGAGTTTGGACTCCACCAATCCACAGTCAGACAGATTGTGTACAAATGGAGGAAATTCAAGACCACTGTTACCCTCCCCAGGAGTGCTCCACCAACAAAGAACATTCTAAAAGCAAGACGTGTAAAAGTCCATTAGGTTTCAAAGGAACCCAGGGTAACTTCTAAGCAACTAAAGGCCTTTCTCACATTGGTTAATGTTTATGAGCCAATCATCAGGAGAACACTGAACAACCATGGTGTCCATGGCAGAGCCGCAAGAAGAAAGCCACTGCTCTCCAAAAACATTGCTGCCCATCTGCAGTTTACTAAAGATTATGCGGACAAGCCAGAGGAATACTGGATAAATGTTTTGTGGATGGATTAGACCAAAATAGAACATTTTGGTTTAAATGAGCAGCGTTATATTTGGAGAAAGAAAACACTGCATTCCAGCATAAGAACCTTATCCCATCTGTGAAACGTGGTGGTAGTATCATGGTTTGGGCCTGTTTTGCTGCATCTGGTTCCTTATTGCTTGCCATAATTTATGGAACAATGAATTCTGAATTATACCAGCAAATTCTGAAGGAAAATGTCAGGACATCTGTCCGAGAACTGAATCTCAAGAGAAAGTGGGTCATGCAGCAAGACAACGACCCCAAGCACACAAGTCGTTCTACCAAAGAATGGTTAAAGAAGAACAAAGTTAATGTTTTGGAATGACTGAGTCAAATTCCGGACCTGAATCCAATTGAAATTTTGTGGAAGGACCTGAAGCAAGCAGTTCATAGAAGGAAACCCACCAACATCACAGATTTGTTTGTTTGTTTGGATTCTCTTTGTCTACTTTCAGGATTTGTGTGAAAATCTAATTATGTTTTGGGTCATATTTATGCAGAAATATAGAAAATTCTAAAGGGTTCACAAACT